GTTTCCTGAACAGTGAAATTTCCCATGGTTAAGTGGGGCAAATAGGGACGGCGTTTGCTGGTTGCTGAAGCTCTGGGCTTTACTCTTCCTTTGTCCTCCATGTGGAGATGGTATTTGCAAAATTGAGCAGGTGGCACAGTTGGAATGAAAAAGAAGAGACTGGGAGGGATATTGATTGTTTCCAGTGACTGAGGGGGGAAAACAGAAGCCCGAGGGTTAAAGGAAGCTGGAAAGTCACTTGGATAGAGGTGAGTCTGGGGGCTTGAGTCTGTTTCAGTGACAGTGGGCAAGCTAGATGAGGTTATAAAGAAGCGATTGGTCACTGCAAGAACTTTTGGTTGCAGCCGTTCTAGTGTAGTGTGGAGGAAGATGAAATTCAGGCAGTGGGAATAGAGAGAATATGCTGGATTTTGGAGTACAGAAAGGAGTTACAGCGGCAAGGGGGAGACTGTAACGCACCTATGTAGCAGAATTCTTAACCCATTTCCTTTGGATCTGGCCATTGGCTGCTATCTGGCTTCAACTACTACTTCAGCTGTGTGACACTCGTCGCCTACGATATTTAATTACTTTAGCATTCGTAGAGCAAGATGGAAGTAAATAGCTGTCCGTGTTGAAAACCCCTTAGATCACAACTGATCATAACTGTTCGTTGTGACCTCAGCGTGTGATTGTAACACACTGTAATTTAAACGTGGTATTTTCTGCGTGTGGCTGATTACATTCTGCTGAAGAGAACTGACAATTTTGGGAATGGTTCCTCTTCACACTCGTCTGAGAGCTTTTAGCATGTTCCAAACCAATTGGACGTGGTAGTTGGCCCTTTCAAAGCAGACTGCTCTCATGCAGGGATGTCGAAAAGGCGAAATTGTGTGCTGAGGAACTGGAGGGATAGGCTGTTCTTTGGAGAAAAAGGCTGCTGCGTCGTTATCTGTTACTATCCTTTAACTGTGTTTTTGAGAGACTGTCTATCTTCAAACAAGCACAGTTCAGGAAAAACCCCGCACGCGTACCTGGCCTAATTCTACCCAGTAAGATGCGATATGCAGTGCTTATCATGCCCTTCTGTGTAACTGTTACAGATCACTGCTGGACTTAATCCTTATCCCTTGTCCAGCAACTAAGCATTTAATTTCTTTAGTTTTTCACTGTGTATTTGGTACAGAAATTGGTAGGAAATACAGTTGATGGCAAGTATAGTGATGTGTATACTTAAAAGCAGATTAGCATAGAATCACAGAATGGTTTGGGTTGGAAGGGACCTTAAAGACCATCCAGTTCCAACCCCCCTGCCATGGGCAGGGACACCTTCCACTAGACCAGGTTGCTCCAAGCCTCATCCAGCCTGGCCTTGGACACTTCCAGGGATGGGGCATCCACAGCTTCTCTGGGCAACCTGTCCCAGTGCCTCTCCACCCTCTCTAGGAAGAATTTCTTCCTGATATCTAATCTAAACCTCCCCACGTTCAATTTACACCCGTTACCCCTTGTCCTGTCACTACAGGCCCTTGTAAAAAGTTCCCCCTCCAGCTTCTTGGGGGGACACACTTAATGTATACTCATATGTAAAAGAAAATGTATAAGGAGAATTCCAAACTACTTTGTCTGCAGTCAGGCTTCAAGCTGGCCTGTAAATGAGGAGTGTTGCATTTATTGTGGTACAGTAAAAGGCACAAAAATGTAATTTGTTAATTTTTTCACTTAATTAAAAGACTCCTGAAAACTGAGGATGCTTGGTAGCTTTGCACTGTAGGTCAAGGAGATGTTTAAAATTTCCAATCCCTCAAGAACTTGAAAATCAAAGCTATTAATATCATCCCCAGATTTTATAAAAAGGTCAGCTGAAGTTGGTGTAATTAAGAAATTGGTTCCAATTAATTTAATTTATTTTTAGAACCTGCTTCATCGTGGCTTCCAGACCAGCAAGGCAGACAGAGCTGTAGCTTCACTTTCCGGGGCGGTTATGGTTGTAGAGAATGTGTCTTGCTTGGTTTTGCTGTGCTCTTCGGGCAGAAAGCCTTTTGCAGTGATTGTGTTTAGCTGTCTCTGGAAGACTTGCAGGTTTTTTCGTTTGTAATCACCGTTTAGCATCTGTGTGCTCAGTGTTTGGAGAAAATGCCTTCTGCTGCTCAGGAGGACTGAAAGTGTTGGAACCTGTACAGTGACTGTGGTGAAGTAGAAACTCCGTTTCGTCCTTAGTTCTCGCTCCATACCACGAAAAGCCTCCTTTTAGCTTAAAATTACTGGGCAAATCAGTGTTTCTTGTATTAGTAAATGAATTCGTGACTCTCCAGCATTTACTAATGGGGTGGAAGGGGTGTTGTCTGGAGTCTTTTATCCAACTGTTTGACAGTAGATTTTGTTAAAACCTGTTTTGATTCAAGGAGAAAAATCCTAAACCAGAGGTTTGCCTTCCAGTGTAAAAAATCTCTTTTTTTCAGTTTTATCTATCACTTTCACTTACAGTTTCATTTTTCATTGGTCTGTCAGTTCTCCGTCTGTTCTTTAAGCAGCTCAGCGTGGTCTAGACCCAGTTTGTCTCCAGTAGAGAGATAGTGTTTGGCTTTGTCGTTTGGAATATTTCACACCCACATGTGTGAATATATGCATATGATATACATACAATATATGCATGTGATATACATGCATATATCTTAGAGCACAACAAGTCTGCCTGGGTTTTTTTGTTTTATTCCATTATGTATGTAATTACTATACAATTTTGTTATATTGTTTGCTGAGTGTGAGAGTCTGTCTCTGCAGCAAACAGCTTGGTCGTTAGTACAGATAATAACGTCAACAAACCCTCTTGTCTCTGCAGTCTTGAATAGCTGGAAGTTAAATGCCTGGGAAGCCTGGCTTTGTCTGTGATAAAAGTGTAACAGGGTTGACAGACTCACCAGTTTCCCTTAACCTGATACAACTTCTTGTGGCTCCTTTTTCTCTGTCTCTGTTTCACGCTACTGAAATTGCAGGTGTGGATTCTCCTGACCGTGCTGCCCTCATTACATCTGCTGCAGGTCACGGAGCATCGCTTCAAGGCTTTTCGTGGCCAGATGATACCTGTCAAGCATAGACAGTATCAAAGGAGAAATTTGGGAAGCGATTGGGAAGAATTGGGTCAGTAATTGGTGGATTAACCTTGTGTCTCTGAATCTTCCTACTAGGGTCACCCTGCGCCTTACAAAACGGTCTCAGCCCGAGCAGCCGTTCCGTCCACTATATTGCGGCTTCCGGCAAGTGCCTTTCAAGATGTCTTCCAGAAATACCCTGAAACCCTTGTCCGAGTGGTACAGGTAAGCTTTGTTAAGTAGAACTGGAGGGGGAGAAAAACATCGCTCTCATTTCAGAGATACAGAGATGACGTTTTGAAGTTCAGCAAGCTCATCGTCCTTTTGCAGATATGCAAATATATGCAGATATATTCAACAGATATGCAGATATAGTTCAGTATAGCTTCTTTTCAGGATTTGGACTAGTTCTGCTATCCGTCTCGCTCGTAGACTCCTAGACTTAATGATCTCAGCATTAATCACGTAGGGGAAGGAATGATTCCTGTATATAGTACACATGGGGTCAGTGTCTGCGTGCGACAGCCTTTTGAGGCAGGCTGGCCTGCGCTCTGCGGCCTTTGGCACGGCTGGGGTAGAGTGTGCTGCCGCGGGCTCTGCGCCAACAAGGCTTCCAAAGGCCTTGGAGTATGGGAAGGACTGTTGCATCTTCTGAAAAAGGACTGATGTACCCTCGGAAGCTGTTTGCTGGGGGGTGATGCTTTGTAAGATTCACAAAATTCAGACTGACACGTGAATGTGGAGTGTTTGCCAAGTGGCCTGTTGTCCCCCCAGGTAACAGGCAGATGGACACCCGTGAGCTGATCAGTCATTCCGGGCCGTCCTTTTGTTTTACCAGCACTTCTAAATCTTTTTGTCCTTGCAAACTGCTGCGGTATCTGGATGATTTATGAGTGACACGTGAACCTCCTGATACGGGTGGTTGAGGAGAACATTACACCAGTTTAATTTGCTCTGTGGGAGCGGATAGCAAAGAGAGGATGGCTTCGGAATGGGAATAAGCTGCCAGGGCAGAGGGAGGTCAGGTGGCAGTGATGTCTTATGCTACTTTAGAGTGTAGAGCAGTACCACAGGCCCTGTAAGGGGAAAGCTGGAATAAATTCCTTAATGAGGGGGAGAAAATAGAAGCAAATGCATTTATTTCAAGGCATGTTTATTATTGTCTACAAAAAGCAAAGAGCATTATTTGGTGTTTGGAAATAAAGCTTCGGGTTCTTGTGCATCAAATGGTTATGAACCCTTTAGTAAATCATTTGAATCTATCTTTGCCTCACTTTATCAACTGCTGAAAAGAGATTTCAGCTCAGAGTACAGTCTGTATTTTACAAGTGCCTTCAGGTGCTGTGGTACATAGCAGTATCTAACTGCAAGAACGAGTGGGAGAACGCTAAATCCACTCTTGTTGCTTCTCGATTGCCCGTTTCTAGATCATCATGGTGAGGCTGCAGAGAGTGACATTCCTTGCTTTGCACAACTACCTTGGTCTGACCACTGAGCTCTTCAGCTGTGTAAGTTTGGGGGACGTTTTGCTGCTCTTACTATGCAGCTTATCTGCAACTTGGCACGGGCAGGTTTTCCTTTTTTCAGAAGGTTGTAAAGCAAATGTTGCGTGTTAATTTAATAATGGCAGTACTTGAAGTAAGGTACTTGCTATAAGCAGCCTGTAAAATCTAGCCTACGCTGGTGCCTGGGAAACTGGGGGAGGGGGACAAGCTTGAATTTCAGAAGTTTGAAGAAGTGCATCACACCAGATGGGTGCATGTGCATCAATGTGCCTGTACATCAGGATGTTTCGGCAAATCCCGATGTGTTCACGCCACTGAGTCACTGCTGCCTGTGACAGCGCAAAGGCGGATGTGCCCTGGGTGGGGGAGGATCAGGTCAGGGAATACTGCAGCGGAATGGATGCATGTAAACCGGTGGGCCGCGATGGGAGTGCTGAGGGAGCCAGCAGATATCCTTGCCAGGCCACTCACGATGGTCTCTGATCGCTGCGACGCGGAGCAGCTCCCCGGGGGTCGATACAGGCTCCAGTCCTGTTCGGGTGCGCGGCTGTGTCTTACGGTTGCCTTTTCCCCTCGCTGCTTGCAGCAGAGCCAAGCCATCCCGCTCGTCTCTGTGGCAAGTGTCACTTCTGGAGGGAGCTCGGGCAAAGTGGTAAAAAGACAAGTGTCCAACGTAGCAGAGGAAGATCGTGGAGAAAAGACTGAAAAGGCTGGGGAAGCACTGGAAATAGGTAACGCTTCTGGAAATGTGTAGTAGCTGTCCTTTGAGATGTTCTTTAATTGTTGTGCTATTCATCAGGGGATTTTCGCTCTATTAGGGTAGTTAGGGTTTATCTTACATCAGTTCCAGGTTTGAAGTTTTTGGATAATCTTAGCTTTAATAGGCAATTATGACTGTGTTGTTAATGATACCAAGGGGTGGGGGGGGGGCGGGAGAAAGTGGCTCCTAATGTTGATCTCATAGGAGGAGCTGTGAAAATTCTGCACTCCAGGCAGTAGCAGAAGAATTGCTGGGTACACGTAGGCTTTTGCGTTGAAGTGTCAGTGTGAAGCTGAATGTAGGACATCAACAGAGTTGAATTTTGCCTCTGAACTTGGATTTTTCTTTTTTTAATTACATCAGAAGTGGAAAGCAGGTTTAAACAATGTTTAACACTAGTGTTTTAAAACGTTTAACACAGACTTTTAGCTTAAATAGTGGGTAGCAAGAGGTTCTTGATGTCAATGAAATTAATTTTATTAGGGAGTACCGTGTTTTTTACATTCGTGTAACTTGTGTTTCTAACTTTCAGATATGCTGAAGGTTTCTGGCACAGAAAACTCTGAGCATGTTTTCAGGAGAAGCCTTTCTTCACCTCCCTATGCAGGGTCGGCAGAGGCTTCTAGTAAGTAGTGCTTGGCACAGTTGTGGGAAAACTATCTCTGATCATATGGGGGAAGACACGTGCGCTCTGGAGCATTGGGTTAGGTAATCATCCTGTTTAAGTTAGATAATCGTCTTGCAGTAGTGCTGCTTCCTCGCTCATTTGTCAAAAAAATTATTTTCTGAAGTAACAAATGAACTGTTCCCAAGAGAGCATTCCCTTGCTGTCTTTGTGAGCCATGGGGAACATACAGTCATTTGGCTATCAAGAGACCTGCAAATGAAGAGCTTTATTAATTGATATAACTGAGTTATGATGATATGCTATCATCTTTCATGGAAAAGATGACACACGAGTCTTGCTTGGCTGATTGTCTCAACGAGCACATTACATGACTTTGTTGCTTTTGGAGGAATGTTTTTTGAGTGGGTAATGAAGGTGATTTAGCATTGAATGCTCTGATGAGACATTTGTGAGGCTGAGCTGTTGTGGTGCTGCAGTTTTGATTTCAGTGGATTTCAGTCATCCCCACTATAGACATTTTCCTCTGAGCCAGCTGTTCAGGTTAGCTTGATGCTCAGGGTAGAGAAAATGGAAGTTCTTGGGTGAACCGTAAAAGGAAGGAATCTGTCTTTCATGAGCTGAGCATCAAAATAACCATCTATAGGTAGCTGTAATGTTGCTGTTCAAGACGGAGATAGTTAAGGTTCAGGAGCAGGCTCTCCCCATATACGGGAAGATGAGCTGGTGGGGCAGACCACCTGCCTGGCTAAACAGGGAGCTTTGGTGTGAACCGGGCTGGAAAGCTGCCCGGCAGGAAAGGACCTGGGGGTGTTGGTCGACGGTGGCTGAGGATGAGTGGGTGTGTGCCAAAGTGGCCAAGAAGGCCAACAGCATCCTGGCCTGCAGCAGGAACAGTGTGGCCAGCAGGATCAAGGCAGGGGTCATCCCCTGTACTGGGCACTGGTGAGGCTGCACCTTGAATCCTGGCTTCAGTTTTGGGCCCCTCACTTCAAGAAGGGCATATTGATGCTGGAGCGTGCTCAGAGAAGGGAACAGATCTGGGGAAGGGGCTGGAGCACGATTCCTGTGAGGAGCAGCTGGGGGAGCTGGGGGTGTTCAGCCTGGAGAAGAGGAGGCTCAGGGGAGACCTGATCGCTCTCTAGAGCTCCCTGAAAGGAGGGTGCAGAGACGTGGCATTAGTCTTTTCTCCCAAGTGACAGGACGAGGCAACAGCCTCAAGTTGTGCCAGGGAAGGTTTAGATTGGATATTAGGGAAAATTTCTTCCTGGAAAGGGCTGTCAGGCATTGGAAGGGGCTGCCCAGGGAGGTTGTGGAGTCACCATCCCTGGGCGTATTTAAGAGACATGTAGATGTGGTGCTTGGGGACATGGTTTAGTGGTACACTTGGCAATGCTGAGTTGATGGTTGGACTCGATGATCTGAAAGGTCTTTTCCAACCAAAACAGTTCTGTGATTCTCTGAGCACAGCCGTTTCCCCCAGGTGAATAAAGCAGTTCACTGCAGTCTGCCCATGCTGCCCTCTAACACTTAAGGTAGAGTCCGTCTTCTTGGGAGCTTTCACGTGGAAGGATCCCAGTGAATATGTGTGTTTGTCCCTCTTTCTCCTTTTATGTGTAGTAATGGTTATGTCAGGGTACACAGAGCTTAGCAGAGAGGAAAAGATTAATTTTTACTGTCAGGAGGAGTGTATCTAATTGGGTAATTATGATTTGCCTTAGTTAACTGCACTGAGGTTACAGTCGCTGTTTATCTTGCACAGAAGGTATCTTCAGGCTTAACGAAAAGATCAAGATCTTGCTTCAGATTTTACTCCACTACCTCACTGTGTGTGCAGAGGGAATAGTGGTTATGTTTATTATTGATTCAGAGTAAGAGTTGCCTGTTATTAGTCATACAGGTGCTATTATCTCAGCATCCCTTTGATTTGCTTGGCTCATTAGAATTAACAAAAACTGCTAAAAATTACTTTGGGGAAGCCGTTTTTACTGCAGTAGCTCCTGGGGTTGGTGTGTAAATTGTTCTTCTGTTTTTTGTATAGCTATCTAACCTGAAACACGGCAGTTGTGTAGATGAGGAAATATGGTCCTGCCAGCGCAGGCTAGGCTGCTTTGTCAGTATCCTAACCCTTTATGTGGTGTCCACTAGACCAGGTTGCTCCAAGCCTCATCCAGCCTGGCCTTGGACACTTCCAGGGATGGGGCATCCACAGCTTCTCTGGGCAACTTGTCCCAGTGCCTCCCCACCCTCTCTGGGAAGAACTTCTTCCTGATATCCAATCTAAACCTCCCCACTTTCAATTTAAACCCGTTCCCCCTTGTCCTGTCACTACAGACCCTTGTAAAAAGTCCCCCCCAGCTTCCTTGTAGCCCCTTCAGGCACGGGAAGGTGCTATAAGGTCTCCCCGGAGCCTTCCCTTCTCCAGGCTGAACGCCCCAACTCTCTCAGCCTGTCCCCATGGCAGAGGGGCTCCAGCCCTCTGAAACATCATCAGTTTTACTGTTCCTGTAAATAAGTGTTCCCAATTTAGTTTTTTTTTAAGGTGAAATAGCAGTTATCTTTTATTGGTTTGTTTGTTGGAGTTGTTTTATCAACAGTTAAGAGACGCTGCTTTGCCTCCTTCCCAACGGAAGGCGCGACGCCGCAGCGCACAGGCGGGAGCGTGGGGGCACCTGCGTTAGGAGAAGCGGGCCGTTCGGGGGGCGCGTCCGTGGAAGGAACGAGGCAGCTGACATACTGCCAGGGACCAGGGCATATCCATTGTTTTTGCAGCGACTTCCAGACCAGCAGTGTGTGGGATACCGGCGAGCATGTGTTCATCAAACAGGGCTGCATTCCACTCTTGAGTTTCCCACTGCCTTCTGTTCTTTTGACTCAGTGGTTCTGGTTAACGCTTGTTCTGCTCCATCCCTTCTGACTCCCGTTTGAGCAACAAGACAGTTCGGTTAATCACTGCGTGGGAAGCTTAGATCTACGGCTGAGATGAAGACTTCTCCTTTGCATAGAGTCTAGTAGACATAAGCTTTCACTCTTCAAATGCCTCCTCTTTTTCCCCTGTCTGATTTTCTTTTTTTTTTTTTAACACGCAGCGCTCCATAGTGAATGCTTTTCATGCCTACATGCCCGTTATCTGATTATTTAAGTTTAACCCGAGAAGTGTGTGTGTTTAGATTTAAAATGCACTTGGTGTACTGGGGCTCAGTAATTATGCTGACCCTGTCAGCTGGGGGGCAGTATAACTGACAGGTAGTCAGAGCAGCCCATATGGGGTTCCATACTGCTATTTCTACCATCACAGCTTTTCTTGTTTATAACTAATTTAGGGTCTTTAATGTTGCACTGTGTGTGAAATTAAGCTAGTAGCACAAACAGCTTTTTTTTTTGCCTTGCTGTTTGGAAGTTTTGCTAATGACTGTCTTTGGGCCAACTTGTTGGGTTTCTCGTTTGGAGGCTGGTCATTAAAGGATGTTACAACGCCAGTGGCAGATGTGGATTTACTGCATGTACTTGTATCAAATCCATGTATTTGTTCATATTTGTAGCTAAAGAGTATTCTGAGGTGGATCAGAACCCTTGGGACAGTAGGACTCTCTCCGTGTCCTAGCTGGGCTGGAGATAGGAATCAAGTTCCTTCCAAAATAAAATAATTGTATTTTTACTTTTAAACTTACAGACAGTTGGTCATGGGAGGGTAATATTTTCACATGATCATATGTAACAAGGGTGTAAATATAGGGCAGCTCCATGTTTCCAGAAGCTAACTTTTCAAAATCAGGGCAATCCTGGGCAAACTCCAGCATCTGTGCGGAAGATGGGGTATGGGAGAGGAATTCAGAATTAAAGAATTCAGTCCTTTTAGAGTTTGTTAGATAAAAAAATTCAGCAGGCAGGAAAGACAATTGAATTTCTTAAGGGCCCATTCTATTTTTAAGCAGCAATATGTATTTAAAAATCAAAAGCATAAAACCAATGTAGTGACAGAAAGAAAAAGTAAGAAAGTGAGAAAATGTAAAGTTCTCTGAATACAGTATGTTGTTGAGATATATTGGGCATAGAAATATGATAGAAATCATTATATATTTATTTCTTAAAGGAAATTGCAACCTCTGCATGATCCTTAACCTCATCTCTAAGTGGGTATCCGATTCAAGGCAGTTAGGTAGGAAGCGCTTCCCAGTTCTGTTTGCGTTACTGATTCAGTTCCTGGAAGGTGGGTGGGACAGCCAAGGATCTAATGTAATTAAGATCTGTTAAAATTGGGAGGTAAGGCACAGAAGTTGTTAGTGACTTCAAATTCCTGAATTAAATGAGAGCTATAGGGAATTCCTTACGTGTATCTCGGCACATGACGCGTGTGAAAGTTTGGGCAGGTTGTAGAAAAGGTCTAAGAGTATTTTGGGCACCAGGGGGAATGTTTTCCTTGGAGGGACTTCTAACACATTGCTAATCATTCTATTCTCCCTGTGAAAGCTCTTGCTGTATATTGGGTACAACCCTGCCCCAATTCTTTGATTTGGTGGAGAAAAGGTTAATGAGAACCATTTCTGAAGACAGTGAGTAAAATGGGTTTGGAATTGCCTCTTCCCGATAATCTTCAGATCCGAGTAGCTCTGTTTTGTGTGCACCGAAACAATTACTGTACTCTGTGCAGGAGTGGATGGGGGAGTTGTGGGACATGTTGCATACCTGAGCTCAGATAAGAAGATTTAAAGTTCCCATCTTCCAGGTCAGAAGGAACTAGGAAATAAATGAATATGAGGATGCCACTATTTATTTTATCCTCAAAAATTAAAAAAATAAGCAAAAAATTGCTTGACTTCATGTAGGGGGAGTTGTGGGACATGTTGCATACCTGAGCTCAGATAAGAAGATTTAAAGTTCCTGTCTTCCCGGTTAGAAGGAACTAGGAAATGAATAAGAGTATGAGGATGCCACTGTCTATATTATCCTCAAAAATTAAAAAAATAGGCAAAAAATTGCTTGTCTTCATGTACTATCTGCTGTTTCTGAGAAACTGTAATAAAAGTGCTTAAAAAAGGGGGTTTCTGTTGCCTGTAGATAATTCCAGCGGTGCGAAGTCAGACATGGACATGGCGTATGAAAGAGCCAGGGTGCACTTTGGCTCGGAGGAGACTGCCAGCAGTCCTGCTGTGGGCAAGGTAGGTCATCTCCCTTGGAGCCTCCAGCGTGTTTCGTGCCTTGTGCTTCCTTACTCCCTGGGATTCCTTGAGCAATTCAAACGTTTCCTCCCTTCCTTCGGAACGCTGCCTTTGTAACTCTGTGTGACTGGCGCTGTTTGGTGATCGTGGGTTGGGGCGTTGGAGCTTACTGTTGTGCCAGTAGATTCTGGGGACTACTTAGGCTTTTTCATGCAGATCTTGGAACTATGGAGAATCCCTTGGCAAGTAATGGGAAAGCACTGCTGCAACTTCTCGATGTTAGATGTTGCCTTCCTCTGGCTCGTGAGAAGGATTATTTGGAAAGGTGAATTGGTCAGACCATGCTGTATTTGTGAGAACTACTTTGCAGCAAGGATTAAACACTTGTATCACCCTGAGCACTTCCTGTAGGTTTTCAGTCACATTTTATGAATCTGTTTCTTTTTGTGGTCTGCATTTTTACGAATACTGACCTGGAATTCAAGAGCACAAAAATGCTCTCAAATTATAAAACTTCAAACCACAGTCTAAAGAGAAATTGTGGCTGAGTGTGACCTTGACGGATGTTTTATCTTTTCCTCCATCTTTCTGTACAGTGTTGATCAAGTTTAGTTTTATCTTTTCCTCCATCTTTCTGTATGGTGTTGATGAAGTTTAGTTCTCTCAAACTGGCAGCTGCCCAGTTTCTGAGGAGTCTCTTGTTCTTCCCTTTCGCAAGCTGTGATGAGTAACTTTGTTTGACTTGAGTGTCAGGCTTTGCAGAAAAATACAAGGATAATGAAGTTAGCAAGCTGTTGCTTTTTTGGAAACGTAGCTTTTTGTTTTTCAGGCCACCAGTTGTGGTGGATAGAGAACACAGATGATACGGCAAGTTTTTTGCTGGGTAGGTGTCAGTTAGAACATCTAAACTTGTTGTCTGTCTCTTCTTTGCAGTCGATACTGAAGAAGACTGTGACCGTGACAGAAACACCTTCAGCAGTTTTCCATTATAGTGCTGTGCAAGATTCCTGTAATAGCAAGCATATTGATGCCATCGTCGAAGCAGCGAAGAAAGACCTTTCAACCTTGATGAAACTTGATGTAAGTTATTGCAGGAAGAAACGGCTTTGCTTTTGCTTTTCATCTCATTCTGCCAGGCGCTAAAGAGTAAATTGGCTCCCTAGCACACTGTAGGCTAGCTGAATGTTTTATTCTCTAGTCTCTTGAAGTTATTAGCAAGACTGAAATAAATCTGAATTATTCTGCCTTTCGAAAAGACCATGCTGAAACGTACTCTATTAGTCTTTTCTCACTCTGCACAGATTTATCTGTGTGAGAAGTGAACGTGCAGTTTCTGCTGCCTTGTAATTTCATGCTCTCGTGTACCGTGTGAAGGCGTTCAGGTGATTGCTGATTCTGTTGGTCCCACTGGCATAGTGTCTGAGTGCCTCGTTTGACTTTCGGAACCGAATCTCTGTCTGGCCATTGGCTACGAGCACATTTCACGGCTGGGTGACTGTGCCGTGCCCCTTCCAACGCTCGTGCCCTTGCGGTTGTCATTACTGAGCTCAGCCTTTGCTTCTCACCTGCGTGTTCTAGGAAGGAATGAAAATGCCAGCTGCATTTCATTAGAGGTGTAGCTGTTCATGCAGATAATCAGACAGTTAGGGAAAATTGTACATCTGTCTAAATCAGCCACAGATATCCTGGCTTTATTACAGCGTGTATTTCGATAACTTCACCCTGATGCTGCCAGAGGCCTGGGCCCAGCTGCTGCGACCACCGTCTCTGTCTTAAGAGCTCTCACCAAGCGACACTTGCTAGAACTTAAGATTTTACTTCTTGAGTTTAACATTCCCTGCTGACTTCCAAATTATTCCCTTTGCAGCTTCAGAATCTCGGTCGTGATCTGTCAGCTAGCAGGAGCGAGGCTTGAGACGCACGCCCTGCGCTGTCACTGATTTGACTAAGGGTGCAGTTCTGGCTGTTAGTCTGCAGGAGACTTCACTGTCTCGTTACGTTCACTTTCATTTTTTTCAGGCATTTGTATCCTCATAAAAGGCTACAGACTATTGTTGAAGAAACTGTTGTTACAGATGGAGTGAAATAGGACTAGGTACTCTCATCTGCTCTGTTCAACCTTCTGTCCTGGGTAGGCCTGGCCTCAGACACCACTTGTATCCAATGTGCCGCTGATGTCTTCCTCTTCAGACCTGACGGATCACAAGCAAAAATTGGAAGATCACTCAAGCTACCAGTTATGGCACTTTTATTAACCTAGAATAAATATCTCTGTAATTAACAAGTAAATAGGTTAGAGTTGAAGTTAATCAGAACAGTATTCTGACAAGGCAGCATCTAACAGGCAGTGTTTTTCACAGGAAGATCTAAGTCATAATGAGCGAAGGCAGGCTTGTCGAACTTTGGTTTTTCAGCAACTCAGTTTTCACAAGTGAATAAGAAGCTGATGTTATTCATGTAGCCAAACGCTAGAAATCTCATTCAGCAGTCCATGTTAATTTTTTCTGTGCAGGATAGCACAAATTGATTTTTCTACAGGCAATGGAAGAAAAGTCTTACTGTGTTTAAAATGTGTTCAATACTGCATACACCTTACAGAGTAGGTTTTCTTCCTTCAAAAACGTTCAATACTGCATACACCTTACAGAAACCTACAGAGTAGGTTTTCTTCCTTGCTCTTCTCTTCAAAAATTAGCTCAGATGTATTGTTTCTTAGCTGGCTGGAGGCATTTGAAGATGTCATCTTTCAGAGCAGCCAATCAGTGTGTACAGAATCAAAATGTTTCAATGACAGATGGTGGTGGTTTGGTTGTTTGGTAGGGTTTTTTATTCATGAGACTGTAAGAGCAAGAGGAGGGAGGATTTACTGTAGGGGAGAGGCAGTGTTATTCTACAGGACTTGTAGGTATCTGACTTCAGAATTAAGATTTTCTTTTTTCCCTAAGTAACTTGAATTCCTGAGGTCTCTGTCATGAATGGCTTTCAATCTCATACAACCTTTACATGTTCTCATCTCTTTCTGCAGTTGTGGTGAGAGTTAAACCACCTTTGTAGGCCATATCTTCAGTGTGACTTAACAAGGGAATTGAGTCACTTCCTTTGACAAAAAGATTATTTGTCTGTCCCAGTTAATTACCGCTATTGCTTGTAAGTGGATTGCGCTTTCACTTCTGCATCACAAACCTCTGCTAATTTAATATCTATTATAGTAATACAAAGAAATAAACGTTTGCTGTGAAATGGATTTTGTTGTGCTAGTGACTTTTTTTTCCTAAAAGCTAATGGCTGGAGGGGTTCAGGGCAGAGTTTTTAGCTTAAACCCTGTAACTGTGTTCTCGTTTTGGCTGGGACAGAGTTTATGTTCTTCCTGTGCTGACTTTGGGTTTGCTGGTCTTGCCCATTCAAAGGGAAGGTCCTAGACAGGATCTTGTCTGTCATACTGTTTGTCAACTCCTTGGTTGCTTAATCAGGGCAGTAATAGGACAGTAAAGTAGGATTTCAGGGGCTGCTTGGAGGTCATTTAGCTTCTTTTCATGTCCAAGGCAGAATCAAATACTGCTAAGTCAGTTCTGGCAGGTTTCTGTCTAAGCTGTTCTTAAAGATCTCCAATGATGAGGACTTCACAGCTTTGTGTGTGATCTATTCCAATACTTCAGTAGTCTTAGACATGAAGAAGGTCTTTGCAACAAGTTCTGCTAGAGCTGATGCAGCCAAAAAACGCCAGTGGTAAGTAGAGCTCATTAGGGAGCTGGTATTCCCTCGCTGTGAGATGCTTCCATAGCTAAAACTTTGTCTTTCATGGTTGGATAATATTACCTATAATGTGCATAAATATAGAAAAACATCATAGAAATTAGTTGAGTTGATATTGCTGAACTGAAATATTTTGACAGGTGCTTGTCAGGTTCTTTGCATTGGATATGTTCCCACCAGACAGATTGCTTCCAATAAAACTATTTTTTGATGAAAATCTGTCCTTTTTATCAGCTGTAGGTGTAGAGAATATTTCTGATTATTTCATTTGCTCTATTTTCTTTTTTTCCCAACCAAAAATGGAAAGAGAAAAACCTGGCGTAACAATTACAACAGTAAACTGTTTATATCTCTGCTGGGTTCTCCTGCTGCAGTAACATTAATGACCGTGGGTGCGTGTGGCTACGTCGTGGCTCTCGTGCTGTCAGCAGTGCTGCACGCTGCGCTGTCCGGCTTTGCCTTGCAGAGGTTAAGCTGTGAGGCGCCAGGACTGCGCTGACGCTCTGTGGCGCAACAGCAGAATCCCAAAATTGAGTCTGTGTTTTTGGCCCCGCCCATTCTGACAGTGATGAGAAGGCGTCGGGCTTGTTCAGATCTGCTGGTTCGGGTGAAAGTTTTGCTGACACGAGGGTGCCTGAAGCATTAGGGTTTGCTGACTGCACGTGGGCCACCGAATTGTATGGGCAGTTCTTTGACATGATCTTACAGCACCTTCCAGTGCCTGGGGGGGCTATAAGGAACCAGGGGGGGACTTTTTACAAGGGCCTGTAGTGACAGGACAAGGGGTAACGGGTTTAAATTGAAAGTGGGGAGGTTTAGATTAGATATCAGGAAGAAATTCTTCCTGGAGAGGGTGGGGAGGCACTGGGACAGGTTGCCCAGAGAAGCTGTGGATGCCCCATCCCTGGGAGTGTCCAAGGCCAGGCTGGATGAGGCTTGGAGCAACCTGGTCTAGTGGAAGGGGTCCCTGCCCATGGCAGGGGGGGTGGAACTGGGGGATCTTTAAGGTCCCTTCCCTCCCAAACCATTCTGTGATTCTGTGATGAAAGAAAAATCTCTCCATGCCTGGTCATGTCTGCCTTGTGTCCGCAGGATCGTGGTGGTGACTGGCTTTGGAGCTGGGAAGGAATTGGTTGGTGCACTTAACTCAGTCAGCCCCTTGCCACTGCAAGGGTTTGAGGTTGAGTCCAAACCGAAGGCAGGCTTTTGGATAGACCCTCGCTCCCATGTGCTCTTCAGCTGGAAAATTCCCACTCTCCTGTGCGATCCATGTGTGCATGCACACCGGAATTGATGGCTTTAGAGAAGCTTTTGTTCTACAGTGTGTATAATCTGCTACGAGTGCACAGCACGGCTGCGCTGTGTCACCAGGGAAGGGCTGTGATGAAGTGTTAGTGTCCAGTCCCTCCATTATGCAAAGTCTTTTCTGGTTTCACCTTCCTTTGAAAATACCTTCATATTTCATGACTTTCACGCCAGCTGATAGAGATCTCTCTTTGTTACAGACCCTGGGAAGAGCATGGGGGCAAAATTGGCAAATACAAAATTCTTAAGAATCTAAGTGTGACCAACTGAAACAAATGAAACCTTGTTTCTTCTGGAAGAAATGTTTGTTGAGTAGAGAAATACAAAAATCACGCACCATAGTTTAAAGATTCAAGTAATTATTACATTGTCTTTAATAATTATTATTCTTATGTGCTTTATTCCACTTCTTCCTCACATTCTCGGATCTTTACATGTGCACCAACAAATAAATCGTCCCCTTGCCCCTGTGTTCTCCAGGATCCTGCGTTGTTGAATGGCAAAGTGACGCTACATCAGGTTACTGCTGGGACTGTGCTGTCGAGGCAGGGAGATCAGGTGAGTGAGTGTCATCTGAGAGCAGAGGGAACATCTGGCTCAGTCTCTTGCCCCCAGCCATAAGGTATTTAGACACACTGATGATAAATAGAAAATCCTCCCCAGCCCCTCCCAAACCTTCTCTTCTGGAGGTGGAACAATCCCAGCTCTCAGCCTTTCTGCATGCACAGGGCAGCAGTGTACCCACAGCCAGAGTGGAAATCTGGTACCCGTCTGTTTTCAGCTCTTACTGCTGTCATGGGGAGCTATGGAACATCCTCCTTCCATCCTTCCCAAGGAGCTGTGGAAGCTGGGCAGCCCATTCTCCTGCCCTGCACTGCCATCTTTGGTGACCTCACTCGGTTTCAGTAAGGTACACTTCCCCCCCATACAGCAGACATCCAGTGTTACTCGTTTATGGCAAAGTGTGCGTAGGATATAAGGAGATTCATTTGTTATGACACTCTGTAAATAGACAAGCTTATGCAGAGCAGCTGAGGGGCAGCTCCAGTTGTGGTGCGACCGTGTTCTGCCCTGATGACCTGCAGCGTTCCTCCTCGTGCTGCTGTGGTTACCCCTTATCCCCATGCTCAGTTCTGCTGGTACTTCATGAGATCTTACAGATGCAGCCTTCATTTTTCATAACCACACAAAGAGAAACATCTTTCAGTATTGTGGCTGCATAGTTTTAAATATTCATAACCTGCTTTTAATAATTCACTATTGAGACTTATTCTATCACCTAATTGTTCAAAAACTGTAGGGAGCTTTCTGGAAAACGGATGGGTCATGGTAGTACTGTCACTGTGATAATTGCTTTTAAAGTCTTTGGGGGTTTTATTGAGCTCTTTTTCCATTTTCTCCAGGATGTTAATGTTTGCTTTGTGGTCTCGGGGATGCTTCATGTGTACCAACGGAAGATAGACTCGGAGGAGGACACCTGTCTGTTCATTACCCATCCAGGAGAACTCGTAGGCCAGCTCGCTGTCCTGACTGGGGAGCCCCTGATTTTCACCATCAAGGCCAATCGAGACTGCAGCTTCCTCTCTATTTCCAAGTCCCACTTCTATGAGTGAGTTCTGCCATGGCATCGTACGTTAAAAAAAAAAAAAATCATCAACTTAAAATTTTTTATGACCCTTTTGAACAAAATGTGAGTGGTGGATGATGTGTGGTGTAGTGCATCCTGTAGCAAACCAGGTAGCTTACGTGAGGGTTCTAAGTGCCCAGATAAGCTCTGACCCATCTATCAGGTGATTATTTCTAGCAAGAGGTAACGCAGGGAGCGTGGTCATGTGAAATGGTGGTATCTTCTTTGTTCCCAGTTTATAGAGCACTTAACCCAGTGGGGTGGGATTTATGTCCCAAGACTCATATATTTCACAATCCAAATAAGAAAGTCTGGCCAGAGCTTGTGCTTTGCTGGGGTAAGTGCTGCTTTGCCAGGCCCTTTCTCTTAGATTAGTTATTCTTTTTTGCTGGAGAGCCACCCCAGTTGTGTTTCTAAACACATCCAGGCTGTTGGATGTGTTGTAATGATTGGTCTTGGTGTGTCTGTAGGTTTTCAATGCACAGGAATAGAACAGGTCTAAGAATAATGTCCCTGTGCAAGACAGGTTCCTTTCTGGACCTTGGAACTAGTTACATGACTTGTGACTTAATGCTTACAGGGTGTTATAGGTATTTCTTAATTACAGAACACACACCCAAAGCTGGTATGATGAGAGTGGTTAGCCTCGGTGTCCAGTATTAATGATTAATGCCCTTGATTTATTCCATGATCCTGCTGTTAAGACTTACTGTTAGCTCACAGGCACAATTTGTGTCAAATACCTCTTTCCTTTTCCAAACACCTTTGTCAGCTTCTGCTTGAATATGCCATCCATCCTGCGTTATGTGTAAGACTTTATGAGGTTGTGTTTTCTAGGCCACTATTATGCTGTATCCTTCTGCGTACTAATGACTTTTTCTAAATAATCTCACTGTTTGTATTCCTAATCAGCTCCTCCACAGAATCTTGCTCTGTGTTTTTCCGCCTCAGGCGGAAGGCTGAATGCTGGCACACGGCACATGCTGTTCTCGGCAGCGTGCTTGGTTGATCAGCTGTGTTTTTCCAAGGCTGCACAGTGGATGTCAACTCTCTGTCCTAATTTCTGATAGATACTACCAGTTTGAGCCATTTTATGCAATATTGGATCTGTTTCTTCTAAACTGTGGCTTTTTCCTTCCTCCTTCTTCTACTGTTGTTTTCCTACTTGTTTCTGGCTTCAAATTTCAGTATGTCATCTCAGCCAACCAGATTCCACCTTTTCCTCCTCTGTTTTTTTTGGTTTGATATTCAGTCTTGGATTAACTCTCCCATTTAGCTTGAGCTCGTTTTCCTGAGTTTTCTCTCTCAAGAATCATGTTCTCTTGTTTATTCCAACCTTCCTTTTTGCTTCCATTAACCCCTTACCAGTCAGTGGTCTCAAACCCATCAGTGTATCATCTCTTCATCACTTTGGGAATCTTTTCAGATTTCTTTTTTCTTTTTCTCCTTTAAAAAGTCCATTGGCAGTTCTCTGCATTTCATGAGCTCTGTCATCTTTCAGCCTTCGATCTTCACAATTTCTCCTGAAACCCAAGCTTTTTATAGCACTTCTAACTCCTGTTCCCATATTTAAAAGTGTCATTGTAGAAGGTCTTTGGAAAGCATGAGGTTTCTTCATCCATAAGTTTGTCCATTTTTGCTTCAAACTCTGAGAAAGAAAAAAAATTGATAGAATTAAGTTTATTTTCCACTTTTTGTGCCAAATTCTGTGTGCATAGTTGTACAGCGTTAGGCTTTCTCCTTCACTCTGTACCTCACAGGATTGATTTTTGCTTTAATTCTTTTGTTTTGCTTATCTTACTGACCAGAATAAATTTGACAAGAACCTCTGTTATTCTCCAAAATTCCTTTCTTCCTTTCTTGTCCAGTATATGACTGACTCTGAGCTGCCCTGAACATATGTGGGTTTTTTCTTACTTACTAATGGGAGGGTAAGCAGAGACAACATGGTCAATAGTTGCCGTTAGGCAAAGAGCACAGTAGTGGAAGTAGCCCAAGGTTTAGAATTGCACGTTGGATGTCGGACAACAGATCTTCCTTTTCACTGACACCTGGGGGCAGGAGCCCGTTACGGCGCTCCGTAACTAACGAACCATCTGTAAATGTAGAGTGTAAGTATAGGGGTGACACGGCTAATTATACAGTATATTCCCTAGGTGCTTTGCTGTTTGCCCAAGTGATGTACTAAGTGTGCAGTGCCTACGCTGCAACTGCTGGTGTCTCCTGGGGGACGGTGTAATCAAGTTGTCACCAGGCTCTTGAGGAGTGTGTTCGGGTTCTGCAGTGCTGGGGACTCTGTCCCATTTTCTGCCTCAGTACATTACACAGTTTGGAGCCTTAATCGCGTGAGCTTGCCAGATTAGCAGGATTGCTTTAATTCTTTGTTTGGTGTTGCTAGCCAAGCTGAATATCAAACTGCATCCACATCCACAATATCCACATGAGTCCTAGGCTTTCACAGACACCAGTTTTTGCCCTTTCATTGCTGTATTTGGTGGGCTGTCTAATGGAATCTGGAGGATCCCTTCAAAAAGAGGCTTCTGTAGTACAGGGCTTTGGTTTTTAATTTTCCCAGTTTCAGGCATGTGCAAAGCAGAAAAGCAAAGATGAAAATGTCAGGGTGAAAGGCAGGGAACCTGGCTGATAATGTGAAAAAACCCTCCCTTTCTCTTCTTGCACATAAGGGTTGGCTTTTCCTTCCGTGCTAATGCTCCTGCAGAAGCTGTATAGCCCTCAGTGAGGTAACAGAGCTCCAGATGGAGGTAAAAGCAGCCTGTTAGGAGTTTACATTTTGAATACATTAAGTATTAAGATACATATCGTGAGGGAGGAACAGGAGTAAATGGCTTTTACTGATCGCAGCAGACAGCCTGTGTGGGAGGAGACTTTGAGGGCTAAATAAGCAAGTAGAGTCAAAACAATGAGCTAAACTGTTCAGGAGTTTTGAGTGAGTTTGTTTAACTTTTAACTCAGCTGAGAAGGGGAATAGGGATGGCTGTTTTGCATCCACTGAGGGATTAGTATTGCCTCTCTGTTAGTGCTTATTCTGGGGGTGCCTCTTCCAGCTCCCTGACCTTTGCTCCAAGTTAGGTTAGTGTGGCAAATTTTCCATGAGATAACGTGTTGTTTTCACGTGCAGTAACAGCTGATCAAACCCACGGTGGTTTGTGGGCATCTTGGGTCAGAGATGGGGGGGCGTAGGAAACTCAGGGTAAGAGAAGAGGGGCAGGAGAGGAAAGCTGTCCTGCTTTTCTACAATCCTGTCTTGAGTGCTGGAATTTACAGTGCAAAGTGTAAGGGTTGGTGCTCAGTTTAATTTACGTAGTAGCACATACGAGTGCAGGGGCACAAGTGTGATGAGCTCAATATGGAATAGGGATATACGCCTATGGATCTCTTCCGTTTCAAATTCAGGGATTTTGGATGAAGAAATTATAAGCTTTATTATTGCAAAAAGAAGAAACTTGAGGCATTGGGTAAGGCGAGTGGAATAGTCGTGCGTGGTAAACACAGAAGCTTCCTGCAGGGTCCTGGGTGCTGCACCTGAGCCGGAGTCACTGCTAGGATGCATGAATGAGAGAGCTGGCGGTTTAGAAACTTCAGGGCAGTTTCTGTTCTTCATCCGGACAGTGAAGAGCTCCTGGTGAGGTTGATTTTGATACTGTATTCTAAGATTATGGATCTCTGCTCAGGGTTTTCTCTGACTTCTGCCAAGTTAGTCGTCCACAAGGAATCATGTTTCAGTTTGGGGAGTGTGACTGACAGTGCTCCTTCCGTGCCCTTCTTTCCTCCTTTCCACTGTTTTAGGGTGTGAGGTTGGATATGGAGCTCACGTGATGTGTGCTTAGCAGGAGTTCCCATGTTTGCAGGGTCTCCCAAGTAGATTGTCTTTTGGCAGTCTGCCATCCTCTTTGTAAAGGGAACACTGGTGCAGAAAACACACTAAGCATTTATTGTCCCCTCTCTCTCTGCCCGTGTGGGGCTTTGAGGTAGCCCCTGTGTCCCTACCTGCGTGCACTTCACGTCTGCAGACACTTACCTGCTTCTTTCTGAATTGTGTGGCCTCTTGGGAAGTCACTTTTTTAGCAGTGTGTCATCAGTTGCTCTTGATGCTGCTCAGGAACGGAGAAGATAAGATGTCCTAACGGGAACATGCACAGTGCGTGATCAGCTCGCTCCTGTGGAGGAGTGCTTACTCACAAAGTGACAGGATGCAGCGATCTTTAGTTTAAAAAGAATGAGAAATAAGACATTCATGAGCACTTATCAGGTGTCTGAGAGCGATTTCCCTTGGGCCTCACAGTCAGTGTCAAGTTTGCAGTTATCCCTGCAGAACATTCTCAAGGTTTTTCAGATTGACAAAACTATTTAATGGCATGGTGTCTTTATTACTAGAGACTTTTAAGCATCACTCAAAAGATTCAGTGTGAAGATCAGAAGCTTTATTAGAAGATGTTTCAGTTCTCTGTGGCCTTTGCAGCAGGGAAAAGGGAACATTTGAAATGTAGAGCAGGTCTCTTATTTTTAAGAGCATCAGACTGAGAGGTGCAGAATGGCAGGAAGAGGTGATCTGGGCAGTATGATCGTGTCCTTGAGTCGTAAGAGACCTGGGTGGTGGGGAGGCTGGGAGGGTGGCTCATAAACGAAAGCTAGCATGGCTCCCACCCATCCCCCTCCTCACTTACAGAAGGGAATTGGGCCAAGCAGCAGGACTAGTGCATGTCCTGCTAGCGTGGTCTGACGGCTGCTAGGGCAGTGTCAGCTTCGAGGGGTGTTTAATTTGGGCTAGTTTGGAAGGCTGCAGCCCCAGCTGCACCGGGAGGTTGTGCCTGTGTGTACCTACCCCTGTTTTGGGGAAGTACTTGAATAACACCTCTTTGTTTTCTTCTAGGATAATGCGGGAGCAGCCAAGCGTCGTTCTGGGTGTGGCCCACACTGTCGTGAAGAGAATGTCCCCCTTCGTTAGGCAAATTGACTTTGCCCTGGATTGGATGGAGGTTGAGGCTGGACGAGCTGTTTACAGGTGAGATGTGGACAAAATTGTATGTTGTCTGTTAAATATTTTAAATTTCATAGTTAAGGAGCTGTGCTCCCTTGGTGATACCTAGAATAAGAAACTCATTGGACTTAATTATCACCCATCTTCTGTTTATCTGTTTGCCTATTTTGAGATGACTTTCTTTCTGCAGTACCCATCAACATTGCCTCAGTGTCTTGTCTTCAGGTGTTATTAAAATTCTTTTGTGCTATTCCTCATCTTTACGTTGTCTTGGGAAGCTCTTAAAGTGATGTAACTGATTAAGACATAGACAGTTGTATGCTGTGGTGGTAGTTTCTGCATCCCAAGTTATCCTTGGGAAAACTTAGTTTTGTAGAGTTGTGAACTAGGATACAGCTGAGCCATTACGTGGTTGCTGCAGTGGTGGCAGAGTAACGGTCTAGTTTATTACGTGTTCTATGTAATTGTAATTGTAATTTTTATAACTGTACCTGCAGCACTAATGCTAATGGAAGTTTGATTACTTTGTGCATCAAAGCAGTCATAACTGACAATATCTCTTTAAAATACTTTGGAATTCCTTGCATTAGTTTTAACTCCACTACCAGAGGTGTGGCCCTTATCCATGTACTAGGCTGTGCTGGAAATGTTCATGCCAGACAGCACTCGTAGTCATGCAAACTTGACACAGCAAAACCTTCCTGGTAGACTAAGATGTGTGCAGCAAAAGGACTCCAAAACCCTGAGCTCCTCAGGGTTTTTTTCTCTTTGACCTGCAGTTTCTCTGTGTATCCATAGTGACCTTGCAGAGACAACCAGCTCCTGCCGTAACCAGTAACGAGCTGGTGGTTTCCCCTGGTGACCACTTCCATTCTGGTCATCTACTTCCAGACCTAACTGTAACCAGTTACGTGCAACACCTGTACATTTAAACACTAAACATGTTTCCAAGTCACCTGTGCTGGGTTCAGCCAGGAAAGGGTTAAATCTCTTTACCGTGGCTGCTAGGAAGCTGTTCCTGGATGCAGAGCAGCACTGATCAGGTCTCAGCTGGTGCTGGGCAATGCCTGCACTGAATTCAAGGTCTTTCTCCGCTTCTGACCCTGCAGCTGCGTTCCCAGCTCTCGCTGTCTCACTACAGGCAGTGCAGGGGACACACAGTTCAGGCAGCTGACCCCAACTGACCAAGGGAGTATTTCATCCCACAGTACGTCATGCTGGGGGCAGAGGTGAGGAGGGGGTCTGGGAGCCATTACTCTCTCCCTTACTCTCTCTCGTTCACTCCTGTAC